ATCATCCCTGCTTTAGTCTCAATTATGTAGCAGAGGAAGATGGGCATGGATGATATTAGACCAGCACCAGTCTTCAACAAAAAAAAAAAAAAAAAAAAAAGAGGAGGGCGGCTCTCTTGTTCCCTGGCAAAGTTGACCCCTGGGAGGTTCCACCTGAGCAGTGGAGTGGGGAGGGAAGGGGGAGGCTCCGAAGCACTCCCAGCTTTTTGGCTCCCTGCCTCACCTTCAGGAGGGCCTTTGGGCCCATGTTCCCTGACCCCAACCTGTCCTTCAGGCAACTCCCTGGCTGGTCCCTCCCTCTAGCCTCTCCTTGAAAAGAAACTAAATAGTGGGGGAGCTGCTGGACCACCCAAGCAGCCAGCCCCCTGGGGAGGCATCTTGGGGAAGAACTTGGGAGTCAAGGGTGACTTGAGAGTGGCCTGCGCTTGGCCTGCTTGCCCGGGGAGGTGCCTCGTGTTCCTCGGGACCCTGGGAGGAGAGAGGATGCCGCTGATCTGGTTCTTGCTGAAGAGTGCCTGCTGGGGCCATCTCCATACTTCTGTCAGGGAGGGGCTCCAGAGTCCAGTGCCTGGCGGGGCCCTTTGACATTTGGCTGGTTGTGCCACCCCAGCAGACCCGGCTGTGCCCGGAGCAGGACAGGAGCTGACCCCAGCCCGCATCTGCGAGCTGTCAATGGAGCCCTTTGAGTGTGAGCACAAAACTCCAGTGAGTCAGGGCTTAGAGGAGGGCGGGGGGAAGGAAACCAGCTTTGTGGCCACACCACTTGGATGCCAGAGCCTCCCAGAGGCCGGACAGGCGGCAACTGTGCGGTGGCACAGACTCGGCAATGGAATGCATTACACATTGACTTTAAGAGCAGCCAGAACAGCGCCCTCTGGTGGCCGCCTCAGCCTCCTTGCTGTCTCAAGCCGGTCAGAGCTGCGTTCTCCGCTCAGCTAAACAAAGGCAGCCAGACTGCTTCCTTGGGGCTGTGCAACAATCAGCTCTTGTTCCTGGAGCCTGCCCCTCGGGGTCCCAGCTTCTCTAAGTGTTTCTTGCAGCCCCAGGCAGTGCACACGTTGAGAGGAGTTCCAGTTAGAGCAGTGGCGCCAGCTATTCTTGTCCCTGGGATATGGCGCCTGGACAGGCCTGCCTCTGCTTCAGCATCTCCTCTCGGGCTCGCCCACCCCATGCCACATTCCTGCGGCAGGAATGGCTATTTGTAAGAGCTCTGATAGAGCTGTGGCTCCTCCTGGAGCCTCTGCATCTGCCCCAAGGAGCAACTGTACCCCTAGCCTGGCGGGGTCGGAGGAGAGACAGCTGGAGGCTGGCACCCCAGGGGGGCTGCAGCAGGATGGAGGCAGTGGAAGATGTGGTGAGGAAGACTCCAGCCGAGGCTGCGTCTCCTCGCTGCCCTCGCCAGTGGCTAGCATACAACGCCAGCTCTCAGAGCTGCCTGGTTCCTGCTCTTGGGCATCCCCCTGGCTCTGAGCTGTGTACACTGGCCGGGCGGCGGCTTGTTGGGGACAACAAGGAAGAGGTCACCAAGAGACAGAAGCAGAGCAGAGGGCTGAGGCTGGGGGTGGACAGGAGGGACGGGATGACGACCTCCTGCCGTTCCCTTCCTCTTCCACCCCCAGAAAAGGGTGAAGAGTAGTAATAACAGCCTTGCTGTGCACTAGACGTGGTGCGGAGTGCTTCAGAGCATCTCCTCACTCAGCCTTACACTGCCCTTGGGGCCAGTGCTCTTCTTGCACTGGTTTGCGGCGAGTGTCTGTAGGCTTCAAGAGGTCAAATGCTTTCCCCAAAGATGCAGCCTCAGCAGCAGAGTCAGCATCTACATCCCGAGTGCAAGCTCCTCCCAGGCCACCCCACTGCCAGAGGACAAAGGAGGGCAAGGGGCTGGGGTCCAGGGGAGTAACCCACAAAGAAGCAGGACAGAATGCGGTTGATGCCCTGGCTCCTCTGGATACCCCCATGTGTTATATGACTCTGGGAAAGCTCCTTCATCTCGTTGTCCTCATCTGTAAAATGGGCAACCAAACAATGCCTTGTGAGGCCTGCATGAGATGAGGTGTGTGAGATGCTTAGATGGTGCAGACACAGCGATGCCCAGCCAGAGTTTAGGGACTGGATAAACGAATGCTGGCTTGCCTGGGTCCCTCACCCCTTGCCTCTGCCGTGCCGCCTGCTCCAGGTGCCGCCATGCTGCCATTGCCAAGTACTTCGGGGATGTGCCCCCCGCCTGCACCAAAGGCTGTGACCACTGCCAGAACCCTGCAGCTGTGCGGAAGCAGCTGAGCGCCTTGGAGCAAAGCAGCAGCTGGAGCAAGACCTGCGTCGGGCCCTCCCAGGCGAATGGCTTTGACCCTGAGCTGTATGAGGGAGGCCGCAGCGGTTATGGGGGCTTCAGCAGGTGAGGGGCCGTGAAGCCAGGGGCTCCCAACCCACTGGAAATAGTCTGGCATTCTCCCCCTGGTGCCAAGGCCAAACCAGAGGTGACACAGTGCCATAGTCCACCCCTACCCCGTGGGCCAGGACCTCAGTGTTGCCCCGAGCCAGGGCATCAGGGACCCTGCTGCCCCACCAGAGGCATGACGGGAGGACAAAGCCCAGGCCCGGAGCTGCTCTCACCCAGCCTGTCCCCTAGGTATGACGAAGGTTCTGGAGGCAGCGGGGACGAGGGCAGAGACGAGGCCCACAAGCGGGAATGGAATCTCTTCTACCAGAAGCAGATGAGCCTGCGCAAGGTGAAGGGGGCAGAGGCTTGGCGGGGTCCCAGATGGCCCCTGGCTCACACACTCTCAGCTCCTTCCCTGGCGCTGGACAGGGAGCTGTCTTGCAGTGGGTTCCTCACAGGCCCTTCGTGTTGTCTTCTAGGGCAAAGACCCCAAGATAGAAGAATTCGTACCCCCAGGTCAGTACAGAAATGTCCCTGGAGGCTTATGGGGTGTTCTCGGGGTGTGGATGGAGGATGCCTCGTTGAGGGGTCGGGGACTCGGGAGAGCAGACGGTAGAGTGGAAGAACCCACCCTTCCTCCCCCCAGATGAGGACTGTCCCCTGAAAGAGGCTTCTAGCAGGAAGATCCCTAGGCTCACTGTGAAGGTAAGAGGTGGGCAGCTCCTCACACCTGCCCTCCAAGATTGTTCCCCCAACCTGAGGCTTGTATGACCGGCCAACCTCCCTCCCTTGTGCAGGCCCGAGAGCACTGCCTGGGGCTTCTGGAGGAGGCTCTGAGCAGTAACCGCCAGGCCACAGGTACCTCTGATGGGTGAGTGTCATGGGGGCCAAGGAGGGCTCCCCAAGCTTCTGTTCCTTTGGAGATGGCAAGAACCCCTGTCCCTCTCCCCCAACTTATTTGAGTGCCTCCTTCCCAAATTGTGACCCATCCTACTCCCAGAGGGCAGGCTCAGTCACAACTGAGGGGCTGCCAGTGGCTGCTGAAGGACAGTAAGCTACAGGGCGCCCAGAGAGTCCAGGGCGGAATCTGGGTGCCCAAGGCCATTCCCACCAGGCCTTGAAGCCGTCTCCAGGGTCTCCGGCTCCCCTGGAGCTCAGTAGGGAGAGGGCTCAGGCCCATCTGACACCTTGTGCTCATTCTTACCCTCAGACCTGACCTCCAGGCCCAGGCTGTGGAGCTGGAGCATGAGACATTCCGAAATGCCAAGGTGGCCAACCTGTACAAGGCCAGCGTGCTGAAGAAGGTGGGCCCTGGGCAGGGGTGGGTGGGGCATGCTCAAGGGCGAAGGTGGGAGAGGGCAGCCCCTCCACACTCGCAGGCTCTCTACCTGCCCTCTGGCCACAGGCAGCGCAGAATCCACCTCCCATCCAGGAGGCCACTTGTGTGGGGGGAGCCTGACTTCCTTCCTTTGCCAGCTGGAGGTCTTCTAGACAACCCCGTGAGGACTAGAACATGTCCAGTGTCCAGTTGCCTGCAGCCATGGGCCACAGAAGCCCAATTGTGGAAAGCGTGGGCTAGGGGTTATCAGGAACTAGTGGGTGCCACAGCATGCCTGCCTTTCCCTACCCCAGGTGGCTGAGATCCACAGATCCTCTAAGGATGGGCAGCTCTATGACATGGGAGGCAGTGCCAAGAGCTGCAGTGCCCAGGCTGAGCCCTCAGAGCCCACTGAGTATGACGTCCGGCCGGCCTCCCAGGTGTACTCGGTGAGCGGTGTCCTGGCATCCACCCCCATCCTGAGTCCTGGAAAGGCTACTCCCCCTTGTCCTCAGCTAGGGCACCCCAGGGCAGGCCCTCGGGCTTCCCTGCTCTGCCAACTGTACCCCTGCAGCCCCCACGGCCCTTCTCTCATCAGCCTGACCCCTAAGTGGTGTCCTCCCAGTTTTTCCCTCCCCCACTCCTGAGAGCCCCACCAATGCGGCCGCACCCCGACCAGCCAGGAGTGCCCTCAAGAACCCTCTCTCCTCCTCCTCACAGCTCAAACCCAAGCGAGTGGGAGCTGGTTTCCCCAAAGGCTCTTGCCCATTCCAGACAGCCACTGAGCTGATGGAGAAGACACGGGCCAAGAAGCAAGCCTCCCAGCCTGTGTGGGGAGGTGAGCAGGAGGCCCCCAGCCAGCCCTGTGGCCTCCAGGATGAGGACAGCACTGAGCCCCTCCCTGGACCCAGAGGAGAGGCCCCTGGAAGCAGTACCTATTGTGAGGAGTCTTCCCCAGAGAAGAAGGCGAAAGGCCCCACTAGGGGCAGTCCCATTGTCAAGGCCCGAGTTAGCAAGAAGCAGCAGCTCCTGGCCACAGCGGCCCTCAAGGATTCTCAGAACATCGCCCGTTTCTTCTGCCAAAGGGCCAAGAGCCCGCCTCCACCTGTTTCAGCCCTACGGGCAGAGGGTGCCAGCCCCTCCTGTGAGGAAGTGCGGGGAGCCCCGACGGCCCCAGAGAAGTGCACAGGGAAGGAGGATGGAGCCCTGGGACATCTGGCTGTCCGCCCCCAGACTGAAGAGTGCACCGGGGAGGGGCTGAGGTAAGGGCACAGAGTAGTTCTGAAATCCCTTTGCCAACTGGGCCTCTGAAGCTCGGGCCGTTCCTAAGATGGGTTCTGCTGGGCTGCCTGGGCCAAGGGTGCAGCTGGTGCCTGGAGCTCTGACGCCTGCTCTCCCCTCCGGCCAGTGCCTGCCCACTCAGAGACCAGGAGCCCCCTGAAGGCCAGCCCACCCCCACAAAGGAGATGCAGAGGGACAAGCGGCCCAGGCCCCAGCAGGTACTGACAAGGACAAGGCCACGGGGGAGGGAGAAGGCCTGTGAACCAGGTGGTATCTGCTCTGCTCTGGGTTAGGAGTTGGGGTAAAATCATCTCCACATCCCAGGGGCTAGAGAGAGCCAGTGTGTGCTGCGGCCCAGCTTCCAGAATGAGGAGATGGGCCAGTGACAGGGAGCCCAAGAGTGATCCTCTACTGTGGCTCTGCCCAGGAACACCCAGAGAGCCAGGCTCAGAAGAGGCCTCGCCCCTCAGCCAAGGCCTCCGTATTAGCTGAGGCCAAGGGCAGCATTTCGGCCAGCGATCAGGGTACCTTGAACACCATGGCCAAAGGCTCCTGCCAGCTTTCAGCTCCTGGCATCTCCCTGAAGGAGGCTGCGAACGTTGTGGTCAAGTGCCTGACGCCTTTTTACAAGGAGGGCAAGTTTGCATCCAAGGTAGGGTGGGGGGGTGGGCTCTGCCCTCCCCTAAGCCTGGGATACTTGGGTGCAGCGGGGGCATAGAGTGTGAGCCCCAGGACAAAGCAGGGTGGAAGCAGGCTTGTCCTGAGGCCAGCTGCCCCTCCCTCGGTCTGCCTTGCCCCTGAGTCACTCCAGGGGCAGGGCAGGGGTCGGTGCTGTCTGCTCCTTTTTGCCCTCTGCTTGCAGGAATTGTTTAAAGCCTTTGCCCGCCACCTCTCACACTCGCTGACTCAGAAGACCTCTCCTGGAAGGAGCGGTGAGTGCCTGCATCGCTGGGCCAGGAGGCACCTGGTGGGGCTCTGCAGGGAGGAGCCTGGCCCTCATGTTTCACTCCCCCACCCCCCGAATCTCTAGTGAAAGAAGAGGCCCAGAACCTCATCAAGCTGTTCTTCCACGGCCGGGCCCGGTGCGAGAGTGAAGCAGACTGGCACGGCCTGTGTGGCCCACAGAGATGATGGACTGCTGCCCAGCAGGGCCAGTGTCCTCCCCCAGACTCGACTGTGCGCCACCTGGGCCTCACTCAGGAATGGGGAAGGTGGGCAGGGCTGCTGCCACCAGGGGCATCGTCTTTTCTCAGGGTCCTTCCCCTTTCCAACCACAGCTTGCTTTGGAGATGGGCCTGAACACCTCCCAAATCAAGGTCAGAGGCCAGAGGTCAGCCCACCATTCTTTCTGCCTGCATGGCTTAAGGTCCTCTTTCTCCTAGACTCCCTGCCTCTCCTGGCTCTCGTGGCTGGGTTTTCTGAGACAGATCTCCAGATGAGAAGGTGGTGGGTGGTGCGCTGCTGCCAGGGGCACAGGAAGAAGGAATAGTCCCTCCACCTCTTGTACTGACTAGGCTGAAAGCCAGGGCGAGGTCTACCTGTCCAAGGCATTGGGGCCTCCTCAGGAAGAGCCCTGCTGGCCTCAGGTCCTCTGCCCACCACCCCCTTCCCTTGCGATGCCAGCCTTCAGCCTGGCCCCAAGTACAGAATTCAGGGGAAGAGGGGCAGCAGCTAGGCCCTGCTCCCACTCAGCTCCTGGTCAGGAAGGCGAGGCCAGACTGAGACATCTACCAGAGGAATAAAGTCCTGTTTGTTCTGACACACGCATGCACACACAGCCCTTTTGTCTCAGGAGTTTTATTTTAGAAGCTGCTTCTCCCAGGCCTGGGTTCCTGCTGATTTTGAGCCAGGGCCTGGGGCCAGGTGGGCATCTCCCCCAGACTAGGCAACATAAGATGCCCAAGCTGAGTTCCTGCAGCCCCACCCCAGGCCCAGGCCCAGGCCCACCCTGAGGGATTCTCGCTACTATCTTTCCCGGTTGATGTCACTATAGCAGCTCCTGCCTCATGGCCTCCACATGGGCCAGCCGGGCTGTGCTGAAGTCCAAACTAAAATGGCCTGACGGCACCCGAGGGAGACTGTCCAAGTGAGACTTGGGCCAGGGAGAGGCCCCTTTCTCCTCTCCACCCCTCTCTCACTCCTCTTGGGTGATGCCGGCCACTAAACTGAAGCTCTGCCGCTGTCCAGCAGGAAGGCGATGGTGTGCTTCAGCTCCTGGGCCTGCTCGGGCACAGGCATGTGAGGACAGGGCTCCCCGGCCAGCCCCCGCCCACACCACCCTTGAGCAGTGGGTATCGGCCTGGGCCCAGGCTCCCGGGCAAGCCAAGCCTGGGTGAGGCACTCGCCACCTTCCCCGGGTGGTCAGACACTGACCACTCACCTGCGGCAGCTCAAACCAGATGGTCTGGGGGCTGTCAGCTGAACCATAGTTGAGTTCCAGTCCAGGGGGCCCCTCTTCCTCCATTGGGCTCAGCAGGTGGATCCGCTGCAGTTCCCTCAGGGCGATGGAGCAGCACAGTTTCTGGGGGCAGCAGAGACAGCAGAGCTTGGGCTCTCTCAGGGGAGGGGGTCAGTGGAGGTGGTGGGAGAGGAATGGCCCAGGGGTGCCCAGGCCTGCACTGGGGCAGGAGCCTGGCCCACCTGGGAGCTGGGGTCCATGAGGATGAGGTGCTGGCGGTTGAGCCCTAGGAAGCCAGGTCCCAGCAGGGCCAGCTCGCTCACTCGTAGCACCACGTAGACAGTGTAGCCAAAGAGGGGCAGCTGGCTCATGGCCTCTGGGGATGGAGGGAGTAGAACAGGAATTCTGGCCACTGGGGCCCTGGGACCTGCTCTGCTTGGCCCCCAGGTCCGGTGAGAGGGGTAGGGCAGGTGGAGAAGCTTACTTGGTCCCTCCACCCTCACCCGTTTCTCCTGGGCCTCCCACCTCCTGTCTCCGCCCCAGCAGCCCCCTTGCCCCAGACCCACTGATGAAGCTGATCTGCGCTTCCTGGGAGCTGCATCCTTGTAGCCGCCTCAGCTCCTGGCCTGTCAGGCTCTTGATGGTGGCCATGCTCACCTGCCACTGCAGCGTCTTGGGCAAGTAAGCCACCAGGTCTCGCCTAGGACACAGCTGGTCAGTCAAGGCTGGGCATACAGTAGGTGCTAAATAAATGAATACAGCAGTGGCTACTGTGGGTGAGACTGGGGATCCGGACACATGAATGAGGTGTGGGCCTTGAGCTAGGGGTGGGGAGGACAGATGTATACAGCCTCCACTGCTGCATGGAGTTAGGGCCATGAAAGGTACAAGTCAAGTGGCCTTGACCTCGGAGGAGGGGCTGAAGGAAAGGCCCTTGGGGTGGGTGCTGAGGTAGGCCTCAGCACCAGAAGGGACAGGAGGAGTGGCAGGAGGTGTGGGGGCCGCGCTTGCACTCACTCTGAGGGGGTGTCCTCAGAGGCCTTGCTGAGGTGCTGGAGGGCGGCCAGCCTGGCCAGTAGGGAATCTGCCTGGGTGCTGACCAACAGCTTCCCCTGCAGGTAGTCCTGCAGCACCTGCGGGAGGCACAGTGAGGGGACAGCTGTGCCCCAAAGCCCCCACCACCCCTTCTCCGTGAAGGGGAGCCTTGGAGGTCCCCCACCCAGGCAGGGACTCGTCCTCAAGCTGCAGCCAGGACTCAAACTGCCAGCAGCACAGCAGCCCAGGGGCAGGTGGGGCTGACCTGGCTGTAGTGGGTGCTGATGTAGGTGGGATTATCGAAGTGCAGCCGGGTCTCCCAGCTGAGCCGCCGGCCGTGAAGGCTCACGTCCTGGTCCACCACCACACTGTTGAGGTACTCGTGGGGCTGCAGGGGCCGCACCAGCTTGCCTGCACGGGGAGCCCAGGTCCACAGCCTGCCCAGGGCCAGCCCCACTGCAGCCCTGCCAGCCGCAGCATGGGAACTGCCTCACCCGTGGGCACAAGTGCAGGCCTGGCTGGTAAGCCACCTCCCTGAGTCCAGCCTGGCTGCCCTTCCTCCCCAGGCGAGGCGGCTCACCTTCCCCTTTGATGAGGAAGAGGGCAAATTCTTGCACTTCCTGAGGGTCCGTGATGCCCATCTGCCCGCACAGCTCCTGCAGCACTTCTGCTGTCACCTGGGCACGTGGACAGGGCCATGATGGTGGGAGGGAGGCCGGGGGGAGGGTCCCCAGAACTGATGCCCACGGCTTCCCTGCCTCTCCCCAGCCCCCTCTTGGTTGCCCCGCACTCACAGTGAAAGTCTGGATGTTGGTCCTGTAATCCACACCCCCAGGCAGGTGAATTAGAAGCAGGCGGATGGTTTGCCCTTTCTGCCAAGACAGGTTGTAGGGCCAGTCCCCCAGTGGATAGAGGTCCCAGCTCCCCCACCCCAAGGAGTCCCAGAATGCCCAGCCGCCTGCACCCCCAGTACCAGGAAAGCCTGCATTTCACCCGGGAAGGGCAGCCGCCGGCGCCCCCCATATTTGACTGTGCGCTGGAGGTGCTCCTGGCTGGTCCGGGCCAGCTCTGCAGAGAGGAGCCAGGCTGGGGTCACAAGCATCTCCAAACCCCTCCCCACTCAGCTGAGACCCCAGCCTGGAAGCCCCTCCCACAGGCACCTTGGCTCAGGCTTGAATCCTGCAGAAACTTGGTCAAATAGGGCATCAGAGTGGTTGAGGGCGGGAAGAAGCCAGTGAGGAGGCTGAGGAAGCTCCAGCCTCGAGCACAGAGTTTCCTGCAGGGCAGAGAGCCTGGGCTTTAAGCTGGCCAGACCACAGCCCGAGCTGCCCTCTGCCTCTCCCCACCAGTCCCCCACACTCACTGCTGGGGGTGTCCTGTGACCTGCTTGATGACCTGGCAGTAAATCTCATCCCTGAGATTCTCCTCCTGGCACAACTGCGGGGACAGAAAGGGTAGGTCGGCAGGGCAAGGGAGCGGGGGCAGAGCTTCAGTGTGGTGGAGTGAGGGGTGGCGTGTCATCTGAAATCAGGAAGAAATCCTTCTAATGGCCATGGGCTGGGGGCCAAGTCAAGGTGACAGCCCAGTGGTCATCTCTCGATCTTTGTCTCACAAAGATCTTTGCACAACTGGTCGCTCCCTGTCACTGTCCTTTCCTGCCTCAGGGCTGCACTCAGCCCTGTCTTCCTCCATTTCTGGTCCCTCTGTCTTATCTTCTGTGCTGGCTCCCCTTATCTCCTTGACCTCTAAGGGCTGTGGTGCCCATGGGCTCTGTGTACACTTGCTCCCTGATGATCCATCTGCTGATGACTCTGGGTATCTGCCTCCAGCCCAGACTTCTCCCTTGAACCCCAGGCCCTCCACTTGCAAGTCTGGGACTTCAGACTTCACATGTCCAAAACAGATTCCTCTACCAGCCCAGACCCACCTTGCCCCCAGGCTTCCTTGTCGAAGACAATCATTGTCCTGGCCAAGGCCTCAGTGTCATCCTTGGCCCCTCTCTATCACACCCCACATGCAATCCACAGCAGACCCTGCTGCTCTGGGTCTCCTCCCACTGCTGCTGCCTAGAGGCCTGAGCCAGCACCATTTCTCACCTGGGATCATTGCAATAACCTCCTTTTGCCCTTACACCCCCAGAATCGCAAACAATAGCCAGAGCAACCCTGCCAAATGTAAGCCAAGTCTCTCTTCAAACCCATCGCTCTTGGGGCCAGCCCCGTGGCTTAGCGGCTAAGCACGTGCGTTCCGCTACTGGCGGCCCGGGTTCCGATCCCGGGCGTGCACCAACGCACCGCTTCTCCAGCCATGCTAAGGCCGCGTCCCACATACAGCAACTAGAAGGATGTGCCACTATGACGTACAACTATCTACTGGGGCTTTGGGGAAAAAAAGGGAGGAGGATTGGCAATAGATGTTAGCTCAGAGCCAGTCTTCCTCAGCAAAAAAAGAGGAGGATTAGCATGGATGTTAGCTCAGGGCTGATCTTCCTCACAAAAAAATAAAAAACCCTTGAAAAACCTGAGTCCCTACAAGGCCTGCCCTGACCTGGACCACCGTCTCTCCAGGCCTCATCCTCCACTCTCCCCTCGCTCGCTGGGCTCCAGCCATGCTGGCCTGGCTGGTGCTGAGGCTCACCCTCTCCACAGGACAGTCCCCCCTGCCCCTCCGCCTGCATGTGCTGCCACACATGCCTCACTCCCTAGCTTCCTTCAGATCTTTGCTCCAGTGTCACCTTGTCACCAAGCCTTCTGCACTGAGGCAGCCCCTTCTACTGCTTTATCATCTTCCACCGCACTTCTTACTCCTGGACACATTGCATCATGATTTACCGACTGTCCTCTCTCACTAGATTGTAAGCTGTGCGGGAATGTGGCCTGCTTGATGCACTCCCACACTCCCACCATGGAGTAGGTGCTCAATAAATATTTTTGGATAATTTGAATGAATGGTGACCAAGGGAAGGGGCATCGCATTCTGGCCCAGGCAGGAGGATAGGAACAGGTCCTCTGGGCTCGCAGTTTCCTTCCAGCACACACAGATCTTGCTTACCTTCAACAGCTCATAAAGGAGATCCATCTCATCCTTGCCCCGGGGCTTAGACTGGTCCCCCATAAATTGCATCAGAGCTGCAGGGAGGATGGAAAGCATGGTAAGCTGGGCTGGGGGCCTGGCCCTGGCTAATACTGTCACTACGCAGGCGCAGGGCCTTCCCCTGCCATCTCATGTCTTGCTCTCAAAACGCATGTGAGCCAGGCAGAGTGGCAGTCTCAGCCCTACCAATGAGGAAATAGGGCTCAGAGAGATTCTGTGGGCACCCATGGCTACACACAGCACAGAGAAAGCTGGACCCACTGCTGCCTCCCAGCCCTGACTCCACACAACCCACAACCCACAACCCCCTGGGCATGAGTAGAAGTGGATGAGGGCCATGGGGGTGTAGGAACCACCAGTGAGCTCCCATGAGTTGGCAAACTCGAGGAGAGAAGGTGACCAGCAGCCTAGGTCCAAGGCACTGCAGACATGGGGACCCAGGATGCTGTGGCCACTCACCCCGGAAGCTTTCCACAGCCTGCCTGTTCATGTCCTCATCACTGAGGTTGATGAGCGATTCCTGGATGGGAGCCTGTGGCCAAAGAGGCTGGGCTGTGGGTCTGGGGTCCTTGGGGGCCAGAGGGCAGATCCACTGCCCGACTCCTCCCCACCTATCCCCCTTACCTTGGTATACTGTACCAGGCTGGCCTTCCCCTCAGCACCTCCACCTGTCTGGTCCAGCCTGAGGGGGCAGAGGGGAGGACAGCCCTGCTTGCTCGGCCCTCCTGACCCCGTCCCAGGCTATGTAGGAGGGTGCTAAGGGTACTGGCCTGGTGGCTCTGGGCAGAGAGGCCCACTTCAGGGAGATTGAGGACAGACAGGCGTAGGGGTAGGCCAAGGGCACTCACAAGGTCTGGGGCTTCCGGAAGTAGCGCAGGGCAAATTCCTGCATGGTGTAGTTGTGGGAGTCCGTGGACAGAGAGAGGTCGGCCACAGAGAGGGGTAGGCTAGTGGCCTCCGAGTCATCACTGTGTGCCTGGCTCTGGGGGCAGGCGGGGCGCTGGGAGCACAGGAGACTTAGTGCCACCAGAGTGCCCACTGGCCTGTTCAGAGGCTCTGCCCAGGCCTCCACCCAGCCCAACACAAGAGGAGCAGGCAGAGCGGCTACAGTGAGCACACCACCAGGAGCCAGGGAAGTCAAGAGCTGTTTATTGAGCATCTTCTAGGACAGCAGTAAACTAAGTACCATGAGGAACACACAAGGGGTGTATAGCCCAGCCCCTGCCCGCAGGGAGCCCACAGTCTCCTTGGGGAGACGAGGCAAGAAATTGGGCGAGGGCAGAGGGGTAGCATCAGATGAAGCGCTGCCCAGTGGGCGGCAGGGTGGTCTTCACCGCTCTGGGGCAACCGAGCCCTTTCCTTCCTCCACTCCTAGTTAGGCCTCGCCTCCGCCTCTCCCGTCTTCCTCACCTCCGATGCCCTATCCCAGTGAGCCAGCCCTGGCTCTCTGTGCTGCAGCTGACTCTTGTGCCGGCCACTCCTCTGCTCTGGCGAGAAGGAGAAGTCTGGAGCAGCAGCTGGCTGCACTATGTCAGCAGGAAAGAGTCCAGAGCGGCCCCCGGAGGAGCCAAACTGCCAGCCTGGAAGGCATCCAAGGCCCGCGCCTCACCCACCTGGCCTCTCGCTTCCTCGGAGGCTCCGCCACATGCTGCCCTCCCTGTGCCAGCCGCTCTGCTGGCCCCTGGGGATACCTGGCTCCAGAGTGCCCACTGGCAACAGTCTGATGAGGTCCCCACGGTGGAAGCTGAGGAGGCTGCTGTCGTCAGTGATGTAGCTTCGCAAGGCAATGACGTAGCCGGAGTCCTGCAGGCAGGCGAGTGAGCAGGCAACAGAGCAGCTAGCCTGCCTGTGACCTCCGTTCTGCCGCACCCCACCTGCTCCCCATGGTGGCCTCACTCTCCAGCCAGCACCCCAGAGTTCCAGGGACCCAGCCCGAATTCCCAGCCCCACCCCAGGCAGCTTGAGGGAGCGTGGCTGACAGCCCTGAGACCAGCCAAACCAGACAGGGTGTGATGCAGCATTCGTGGAGGCCCCCTGCCCGGCCCCCCGCCCAGTCCCCTGCCCGGCCCGTGCTTGCCTTCTTGAGCTCCCTCAGGAACAGCTCAACCATGGCCTTGATGGCATTCGCCCGGGCCGTGTGCAACACCAGCTGCTCACTCTTCAGTGACAGCTCCAGGGTGGAGCTGCCCAGGCACTCCACGCCCAGCACCTCAGCAAAGCTGTGCACAGGGTGGGGGCATAAGCTGGGGGCCATCTCTCCACCCCATCCACCCCACCCCTCCACCAAGGCTTACCTGTAGGAGCAGAGAGTCTTCAGATGGTCAGGGTGGAAGCTGGGGCCCTGAGTCACCTTGAGCAGTCTCAGCCCCCGGTGGGACACACCCAGCAGCTGCACGTCACTGCCACTCTCGCCCTGCCCAGAAGGTGACTGGGTCACAGACAGGCTCCTGGATGCCCTGGGGCTGCACAGGGCCAGTGCTGTTCTTTGTCTTTCCACTGAGGCCCACCACACCTCCAGCTCTAGGCCTTGCTGCAGAAGGCCCATGCTGTGTGCACTGGGATCCAGACTGGGGTACCGCCACACTCAGCCTCACTGACCGAGACGGGGAAGATGCGGGAGAAGTAATTGGCCCAGTTGTCCCTAGCGGCCACCACGATGCGCTTCTTGACACTGTCCTCAGCGGTGTTGAGTGAGTCCAGGCCCACCTCTAGGTCTCCTGCAGGCAACAACAGCCCCAGACTGTTCTCAGGCTCCCTCACAGGGGGGACCTCAGAGTTTTCTCCCTCCCTTGGGGCAGGCCTAGCCCCCAGCACTACAGCTCCCTGACTCCAGGGTCCCTGGACCATACCCAGCAGGTCTTTCATTTTGCGCCGCTCATCCTGGGAGATCCGGATGCAGGACTTGGCAAAGGTATCCCTCAGGATCTGGGGGCAGAGCCAGGCAGTCACCGCCACGTCCTGAGGCCACAGCCCACCACAGAAGCAGCCACGCGTGGAGGAAAAGCTAGAGAGCCCCGGGGGGTGTAGGTGGAGCAAGGAGGGATGTGGGGCTTCCAAGCCCAGGGCCACGTCCGCCCAGAGCTCCCACCTGCCTCCCTGCAACTGCCCGCACTGGTGGGGCTGCTGTCCCTCCGTCAGCTGAGATGAGCTTCCCTGAAGGAACAGAGCTTAGGGAAGGAGGGGAGGCTACTGTGGAATTTGGAGGAACAGCACAGTCTTGCCAGAGGTGGCAAGGGAACAAGCACCAGTGAGCGCCTGCTGTGTGCTGGAGCCTGTGTTTGGTAATGTATACACTTTATTTTTAATCCTCGTTATGGCCAACAGGGGTCCTTACTCTTCGGGACATTGTGAGGATTAAGTAAATGAAGGCGGAGCTTGAAGCACAGCAAGTGCCCAGAAGTGCTGCCCAGGTCTGGGGGCCATCTGTCTGTACGCATCGCAGTGGGGCTGGGCTCTCACCTGCTCACAGAGGAGCCTGAGGCAGTAGGCATGGCTGAAGTTCTCCCGGGGGTAGAACACCTGCAGGAGGGCGTGGGGAAGCGAGAGCCGGTGGGAATGGAGCCCCTGCCCAGCCCCCTCCCACCTCACCTGTGCCTCCCAGGCCCAGATGGAAAACCAGGCTTGAGGAGGTGGGTAGTGGGGAGGCAGCCCCCAGTGTTTGTGTGTGGGGAGGAGATGCTGGGGTCCCAGGCAGGGTCTCCCACAGCCTGCGGCCCCTCCGCAGCCCAAAGAGAGGCCAGGTTGCGGCTCCGCCCTTGTGCCCACCTCCTTGCGTAGGAACAACTTCCAGGGGGCGCTGGCATAGGAGAAGCACACGCTGCCCGAGGGCACGAGCAGCTGGGTGGAGACCCCCTGGTCCCCCATGGGCACCATTAAGCCTGGCAGAGAAAGGGGCCAAAGAGCATCAGGCGAGGAGCTGCCAGAGCCGGAATGACGCGGGCATGGGGAGAGAAGACCTTCACCTCCCTAGGGCCCTGCGAAGGCCCGGCTTGCTCAACCTCTGCTGCCTCAATCCCGCCCACGGTCCCATCTCCTGACTCCATTTCCGGCCCTTAAACTTTCCCTGCTGTCCCTCACCACGTCAGCAGGGCCACTAAATTCCTGACAGAGCTGCCAGGTCTGCACTGAGGACGACGCCCTGTGTGTGACAGTGCCAGACACAGCCCAGGGGTGCCCGGGCCCTGCCCTGGGCAGGAACGCAGAAGCCGGGGCTCCTTACCCACAGCTCCAAAGTCCAGAAGGCTGAGCAGCTGACCTCAGCCATGAGCACCCAGAGGCTGTTGGGAATCCTGCCTCCACCCCAGCGAAGCCCACGGCATAGGGATATGGGGTTCCTTACCGTGGGGCTCAGCGGGAGGGGTCCCCAGGTCCCCAGGCAGAGGCAATGGGGGCGCTGGTGGAGGTGGGGGTGCCTGGGCAGTGGGTGGGGTTGTGCCAAACAGCTCGCGAAGGTGCCTCTGCTTCTCCTTGATGGAGCTGGAGGGCCCAGGCTGTGGTGGGGCCTTGGGGTGAGGGGCCACAGCTGGTGGGGGGCCCTTCCCTGGGCTGGGGGGCAGCACCTGGGAAGGCACAGAGAAGGCACACAGGCTGTGTCTAGGGACAAGGCCAAGTTTACCCCAGAGAGCCTCGGACTCCAGAGCAGAGCAGCCATGCTCTGGGCGGGACAAGGCCTCACCCAAGGGGACGAGTGGGCACCATGGATCCCCAGCTTAGCCAGAGCTTCATCCTTAGGATTGTTTTTCTTCATGAAATTTTTGGGGGGCCTCCTGGGAGAAAGAAGAGGTCACAAGTCCACAGGGTGACTCCCTGGGGACGGGCAGCCCCAGTCCCTCCCTGGGGCCCACCTGGACGGCTGCACGGGCTCAGGCATGGGGCCCGGGCGGCTCTGGTACATGCGGATGATGTTGCGGATCTCCCTGCTGGGCTCTGCCCGCCGGGGCGTGGGCTCTGAGTTGCGCACCACAGCTCTGCCCTGGGCCTGCCGATCACCACCAGGCCCCACCTTCTGGGCTGGCTCAGCCTCAGCCTCCTGTGCAGCTTTGGCCCCACCTTGTGACTGTGGCTTCTTCACTACTGGCGGCGGGGGCGGGGGCGGAGGAGGGAACGGCACTGAGCAGGAAGAGAAGAAACATGTGAGACCCTGTGCAGATCCGTGGGGCCTGGCCCTCCCCCATCTCCCCACCACCTGCTCGCGGTTCCTCCTCTTCCTGCTCCTCCTCCTCCTCCTGCTCTGTCCCCTGGGGGATCTGTACCTTGGCTGGAGGCTTCACCATCTTCACCTTGATCTGCTGCTGCCCTGTAAGTGCCCCAGATGGCCCTGTCTGTTACCCTCCACCTGGCCTGCCCATCAGGGCTCCTGGACAAGCCATACTGACCCAGGGGAGTAGAGTGCACCCCACTGTCCCCTGGCCAGGCTGGGGCAGTGGTCAAGTTTCTGTGTGGGGCCTGCCACCCCAAGCACCCTCACCCATCTTCTGGAAATAGTCCCGTTTCTGCTGGAAGCTCTTGGGCCGCCAGGGCCTGTCTTCTGCCTCTTGAGAGGTCTCCTGCTGGCAGGAAGGGGAAGTGAAGGAGCAGCTCTGCCAGCCAAGCCCCCACTCTCACAGCGAGCCCCCTCAGATCGCTGGGGCTGGGGCCTAGCAGCATCTTTTCTGCGTCTTCTTGCTCCCCCCACCCCGTGTCCTCCATCCCTGCAGCCCGGGAGCCGGTGGCCCCCATCCCAGGCTCTGCCATCTGCCTGGCCTCGGCCTCTCACCCTCAGGCAGGCACCCGCCGATTCCAGCTCTTGCTCTGGCTCCTCTTGAGGGGCCTTGGGCTTCTTGGGCTTGGGGGTGATGGCTGGGGATGGGGTCAGGGAGGCAGCTTCAGGGGCAGGGGCCTGGGCTGGGGCCGGGGCCGGGGCCTGGGCTTGGCGCTGGTGCTGGCGCTGCTGTGTCTGCTGCTCCAGGGACAGGGTCATGGCCTGGGCGGTCATCTGCTGGGCCTGAAGGGGTAGGGCAGTGGGCCAGGTAAGAGCTGGCCTGACTCCACCCCACAGACCTGTTCCCACTAGGCAATGCGTGGGCCCTGCCCACTCTCACCAGAATCAGTGCCTGCTGGTTGATGAAGTTCTGCTGCTGGACCGCCAGCTGTCTCGCATCCACAGTAGGAAGCAGGGGCTGGGGCTGGGGCTGGGGCTGGGGCTGTGGTGGCACCACCATGGCTGCAAGTGTGGCAGGTGGGCAGGGCGGGTGAGCACTACAGCCAAGCTTGCAGCCCTCTGCCCACTGCGCCCTCTGGGCCCCTGGCTCTCAGTCCTTCAGTCCCTACCTGAGAAAGACCCAGTGCCTCTGGCCCAGCCTTACCTGGCATGGGGGGTACTGCGCCCATCACAGGCATCATGGGCATGGGTGCAGGCATCATGGCTGGCTGGTATCCGGGCAGCTGCACCATACCTGGGTACACTGAGGGAATAGGGGCCTCCCAGGTCGGTCCCTACCTAGGCTCACAGACCACCTCCCTCCAGCCGCAAGCAAAGAGAAGAGTAGGGCCACCAGGGTGCTGGCTGGAGCTCTGACCCCAACTGCCTGGGGGTCCCAGGCCACACCTGCCCATGCTGCTGGGCCGGGGAGACCCTGGATGGATGCTTGGCCCCGCACTCACCCATGGGGTAGCTGCCTTGCTGCATGGGCCCCATGGCGCCCCCTCCTTTCATGCGGCCTCTCAGAGCCCAGACTTGCTCCAGATCCTAAAGGGACAAAGGTCACAGGTCAAAGGTTCAGAGCTAGAGCCCTGGGTGAGATGGGAGGGGCAGCAGAGACTCCAGTCAGGTAGGGGCAGGGATAGGGTGGGGTGTGTGTGCAGGATACTCACACTGAGGTCTGAGGAGAGGACTGGCTCGAAGAGGTGGTCCAGGAAGCCGTCCAGGCTCCCCGAGGTCTGTGACCGGCCTGGGGGGCCAGAGGAGGGTTAATGTTACCCGCCTGGGCTTGGGGCTTCCTGTGCCCCCATTCCCAGCACTCTGCCAACCTCTGTGTGCCCAGTCCCAGCCGGCCTTACCTGTGTGGCTTCTGCTGGGCAGTGTGGGGGCTGGACCTGGAGGGGGACCTGGAGGCAGTGAGGGGGCCTGGATGCCAGGGGCGGGGGGGATGTCCTCGGCTCTGCAGGAGATAAGGGGGTGCCTCGGCTGGGGGTGGTGCCCAGGCAGAGGCCAAGTGTAGAAGCTGCTGTGGGGGTCGTCCCCACAGGGTGAAAGGAGGCTTAGGTGGGAGGGCTGGGCCTGCAGCAGCACCTGTCAACCCCAGGGTGTGAGAGGGTGGCTTTGAGGGTCACCTACGACAGGACAGGAACAGAAGCAGGCACAGGGGTGCTGGGGAGGCACCTACGAGCCACGGGGAGCGATGGGGTAGCTGCGGGGACCAGCCGGATCCCCCTGGTCCTCCGTCTGGCCAATCAGGTCCAGCACGAAGTCGCAGCCAGCCAAGTCCTGCCAGGAGTCTCCAGAGTGCAATGACACGGACCAGCCACGCGGGGGCACCTCCAGGCCTCTGGGTGGGACAAGGGTGTGCAGTATGGGGGTGGTCAGCCAGGCAGATGACCACCCCAAAGGGGCAAGGACCCCACCCGAGGGTGGACCAAGGGGAAGGGGCTGCAGAAGGGGACAGGGACCTGGGTGAGGAGCCCGGCTTCACTCAGACAGCTCTCCTTTATTTGCAACTCACAACCCTCTACTTCTACATGGGCTCTGATGCTCGCGTTTATTTATTGACCCGTTTCATCAGAATCTGGACCGTAGGTATAAACTCTGCTCTTGCTCCCCATCTTGGATCTACTGTCTGGATCCTGTCCCCTCACCCCCTCACTTTGCCTCTCCAATCACTCCAGGGAGCAGGCTTTGGTCCTGGGCCTGCAGGAGCTGCTGGGAGGCGCTTGGCGGGAGAGTGGGCTGGGAGGAGGAGGACCCAGGAGGAGCACAGGACTATGGTCAGTGTTGGCCACACTCCCCCCATCCCAGTTGCCCCATACCTGCTCTGCAGTATCCACCCAGCAAATTGCTCCCCCGTGGTCCAGGACTCCACCTCGGCCGAGTAGCACTCCTCTGCAGGACAAGGAGTGGGAGGCAAGAGTGAGAGACAGCAGGGTCCACCCTGACGGGAAGGGGCTGCTGTCCCCATGGGGACGAAAAGCAGGACAGAAGGGAGATCAGGGTCACGGGGTGGTGGCGGGGGGGTGCTGAGGCAGAAAGGGGGTCCAGGGACGGCGAGGGAGCAGGGCCGGCTCTGCCTGGGGCCTGGGGAAGCCTAAGCAGGAGCGGGCATGACCGTTGAAGGTGAAGACGTCCAGCGCCATGCGGCCCCGCCGCCATCCGGCTGTCCACTCGAGCTGGGTGGGTGGGTGGACCCGTGCGGACCCAGGGGCCAGCTGCGTCTGCTCCAGGGCCCCCAGCAGCTTGTGCTGGCACAGAGCTGCCATGCCTCTGGGGGCCTGGTCAGATACAAATCTGCAGGGACAGCACAGGGCTGCTGTGGGGGCGGGGCATCCCCTTGACCCCACCCACTGTGCCCCCACCTGCCAGGCCCCTTACTTGAGCAGTGGCTTCTGCAGGGTGGGCATTGGGGGAAAAGCACTGAGCAGGACGGCCATGAGGGCCCAGCCGCGCTGGCTCTGCTGCTCATCTGGGTTGTGCCAGAGCTGGGCCACGAGCTGGCTGAAGAGCTCGTCCCGCAGCCCCGGCCGGCGCTGCCCCTGTCGCACCAGGTATTCGCCCATGGTCTGCTCCTGCCACGACGGCAGGGACCCGTCCCCTAGGAGCCGCAGCATCTGCAGATACAAAGTGATGCCAGGGCAGGACATGCAGGGCTCCCCTGTGCCCAGCCAGCACCCAGGAGCCAGGGACAGGCCCGCCCTGTCCACTCCTCAATGTGTCACTCACCACTTTGTTGATATCCAGGGCATGCTGAGGGTTCTCACCATCTAGCCGGGTCAGGGGCTTGGTCAGCAGCTGCCCAGGGCTGGGTAGGGATGGCTCCTGCAAAGAAGGAGGGTGACACAGCGCCTGAACAGGGGCTGGTCTCTGCTGACCTGCTGGAGAGAGCCCCAGGGGAGCCCCATGGGAGCATGCGCCCTGGGAGAGGGAGGGGGCTGATACAGAAAAAGATCTTAAAAATGCAACTTAACGGCTCTTTCTGATTAGAAAATTGATGCCCCTACATGCAGAAAACTCAGAAAACATGGAAAAGGATAAAGAATAAAAACCACCATTAACATTCCACTGCCAGATATAACCACAGGTAATATTTTAGCCTCTCTCTCCCTAGTCTCACTTTCTATGCGGAGATACACACGTTGCCAGCCCCCATTGTTGTTATTAACAAAATTGGAATCATACTCTACGTGCAGTTTTGAATCTGGCTTTTGTATTCAACACTGCAGCTGGGACAATTTGCCTTGTCATTACACATGCTTCAACGACATGACTTCAAAGGCAGGGCAATGCCACAGGTGTAACAAAGGTGTGGCAGTACGGATCTAAGTAACACTAGCGAGTGAGACATTTAGGTTCAACAGATGTTTTCCGAGCAATGTAGCTGCGTCCACGGCCCCCGTGACAGGAAAAGGAGGCGGGAGGGTGGACAAAGAGGCATAGACACAGCTTCTGCCTCGCAGGGGCTACTATCTGGGAACTGTGGGGGTCAGCCAGGAAGAGCTGAGGCCTGGGGGCCCACCTGAAAGCTGATGGAGATGAAGCTGGAGAAGGGGAACTGGTCAATGTCCGGCGGGAGCGTCAGGCTGACACGGGCAGGAACTTCCGGGGGCAGGGACTCGGTGATGCTTTTGGCTAGGGTGTGCTGACGGCCTGAGGACAGCACGGGAGGGAGCCCGGAAACACCCAGGTGTGATACCTGGCTCTAGCAGCGCCCCCACCCCTCACCATCAGCCCCCAGCCCTGTGCAGAGGGAGCTGGGCAGTGAGCTCAGGGGAGCCCACAGCATCAGAGGGAGGGACCACAGGGACAGACCCACTGCAAGTAGAGGGACTGGTGGAGAGGTGGTGGCAAGAGGGACACCAATCAAGACTCACCTTCTGCTGTCTTCAGCATGACAGCCAGCTCAGCCGGGATCTCCAAGCACCCCAGCTCCTGGCAGAGAGGAGCAATTGATCAGGTACTAAGGGAGGGGGCACAGGGACCCAGTGTCCCTCCTCAGCCCCAGGACTATAAACCTCCCCTCCAAAGGATTCTGATCCTGGACACTCAAACACACCGGGCCCCAGAAGCCCTCAGATGGAAATTAAGGGCACCCCAGGCCTCCTCTCAGGGGTCACACCAGATGCCCTTGAGGGACAGGACCCCTGGTGGCACCCCGGGACCTCATGCTTGACCTCAAGCCATGCCAGGTTCAGCAGGTTCATACCCCATCAGACACCCTCCAGCTTCCAGGCCACCTACCATGCTTGGCACCTTCTCAGAGGCCCCGCCGCCGTGCCAGCTACGCCAATGCCCAAGCTGTTGGGGAGATGTGGGAAGAGCTGATGTCCTCGTGGGGAGTCACCATGAGCCTCCTAGTGGCTCCTCCCCAGGTCAGCAGTTCAGCTGCCCCCTCCTGCCCCTTGGAGGCCCTGCCACCAGCAGAGGAAGAAACACAGACCCAGAGGAGCCAGCAACCTGCCCCGGCCCTCAGGAGCCCTCACCAGCCTTAGCGCTGTGGGTGTCACTGACTGTCTGCCTGGTACCAGGAAGAGGGCAGGAAGAAGAGAAGGAATGATCCCAGGGGACAAAGTCCAGCCAGGGAGGGGCCAGAGATGGGGGCAGTACATGGGCAGTATGTGGGCACTGACCTTTGAGTTGCTTTATGACCCTCAAATTGAAGTCATCAGGGAGAAAGGGGAGCAGGCAGGCCCCAAGGGAGGCCTGGAGGGGACAGGAAGTCACCTCAGACAGGGAGGGTGGAGTCAGGCCCTGGGGGATAGGCAGGATGAAGGAAGGCAAAGCCTACTCTGGCCAGGCAGAGAGAAACGGGAAGAGCTCGACCCGCAATGGTCTCTGAGGCCTCAGTCCTCATGCAGTTGGGCGAGGAGGGTGGACACTGTCGGGATTCTGCCAACTGGGCCAGCAAAGCTGCTTGGCTTCTACCTTGAGCTGCCCCGTGCAGCAGCCCCCCCGACACTTCACCTGCAGTCTCCGCCGTCTCCAGAGCAGGGGCCGGGCCACCAGCAGGATGGCGTTCAGCTGTCCCAGAGCCGCCTGCCGCCGGAGGTACCGCTTCCTGGAGGCCGGGAAGGGGGTGGTGAGGAATCCAAACTTGCATGAGGTCCCTGAATCCTCCAGGCCAAGACAGGAGTGTAAAAGCTGACCCTGGGCCAGTGAAACCCCCGGTGCTTAACAGAAGCCACGGAAAGGACAGGACTTTAAAAGAATAAGTTAACTGAGGAGGTGTTTGGCATAGCGGATTAAGATCTTAGACTCTGGAGCCGACCACCTGGGTTCATTCCCCTACTATTTAGTCACTGTGCTCTTGGATAAGTTACCTCACCACTCTGTGTTTTATTTTCATCACCTGTAAAATGAGGATTTTTGTAATACTTGCCCCATGGGAAGATTAAATGAATCAACAGACACGTTTAGAATTGAGTTTGGCATATTATTATTTAAGGCGCAGAACTTCTAAAAGTGAAAAAAAATAACATCACTTGAAATCTAATAGGAGATCCTGGAACAGATAATGTCTTTGAGGATTTTCCGGATATAAGAAAGACCAGACTCCTCAATGAAGGAGCCCTGAGCAGGATAAACATTTAAAAATAAATCTATAGCTTTCGTGCATCAAAGGACACTATCAAGAGAGTGAAAAGACAACCCACAGAATGGGGGACCATTTGGGAATTGCCATATTTGACATATAATATCCAGAACATATAAAGAACTCCTACAGCTCAATGACAAGACAAACAACCCAATTAAAAAGCAGGCAGAGCACTTGAATAGTCATTTCTCCAAATAAGATACACAAATGGCCAAGAAACACATGAAAAGATTCTCGAGATCATTAGTCACTAGAGAAATGCAAATCAAAATCACAATGAGATAGCCAAAGCAATCCTGAGAAAAAATAACATAGCTGGAGGCATCACAATCTCTCACTTCACTATACTACAAAGTATACTGACAAAATATACTACAAAGCTGGGCCAGCCCTGGTGGTTAAGTTTGGGGCGCTCTGCTCCAGCGGGCTGGGTTGGTTCCCCTGGGGCTGGACCTACACCGCTCATCTGTCAGCGGCCATGCTACGGTGGTGTCTCACATACCAAAAGAGGAAGATTGACAACAGATGTTAGCTCAGGGTGAATCTGCCTCCGAAAAAAACAAAACAAAACAAACGTACAAAACTATAGTGATCAAAACAGCATGGTACTGGCAGAGAAACAGACAGAGATCAATGGGACAGAACTGAAATCCCAGAAATACAACCACACATCTATGGACAGCTAATCTTTGACAAAGGAGCCAAGAACATACAATGGAGAAAGGAAAGTCTCTTCAATAAATGGTGTTGGGAAAACTGGACAGCCACATGCAAAAGAATGAAAGTAGACCATTATCTTACACCACACACAAAAATTAACTCAAAATGGATTAAAGACTTGAATGTAAGACCTGAAACCATAAATCTCCTAGAAGAAAGTACCGGCAGTACACTCTTTGACATCGGTCTTAGCAGTATATTTTCAAACACCATGTCTGCTCAGACAAGGGAAACAAAAGAAAAAATAAACAAATGGGACTTCAACAGACTAAAAAGCTTCTTCAAGGTAAAGGAAACCATGAACAAAACGAAAAGACAACTCACCGACTGGAAGAAAATATTTGTAAATCATATATCCGACAGGGGGTTAATTTCCAAAATATATAAAGAACTCATACAACTCAACAACAAAAAAACAAGCAACTCGATCAAAAAATGGGCAGAGGATATGAACAGACATTTTTCCAAAGAAGAGATACAGATGGCCAACGGGCACATGAAAAAATATTCAACATCACTAATTATTAGGGAAATGCAAATCAAAACTACAATGAGATATCACCTTACACCTGTCAGAATGGCTATAATTAACAAGAAAGAAAATAACAAATGTTGGAAAGGATGTGGAGAAAAGGGAACCCTCATTCACTGCTGGTGGGAGTGCAAACTGGTGCAGCCCGTGTGGAAAACAGTATGGAGATTTCTCAAAAAATACCATATGACCCAGCTATCCCACTACTGAGTATTTATCCAAAGAACATCAAATCAATAATTCAAAGATATTTATGTATCCCTATGTTCAGCGCATCATTATTCACCATAGCCAAGACGTGGAAGCAACCCAAGTGCTCATCAACGGATGAATGGAAAAAGATGTGATTGATATACACACACACACACACACACACACACATGCACACAATGGAGTACTACTCAGCCATAAAAAAGACAAAATCGTGTCATTTGCAACAACATGGATGGACCTTGAGGGTATTATGCTAAGCGAAATAAGCCAGACAGAGAAAGACAAGCACTGTATTATTTCACTCACATGTGGAAGATAAAAAAACACATGGATAAGGAGAACAGATTAGTGGTTACCAGAGGGAAGTAGAGGGGAGAGCAAAAGTGGTAAAGGGGCACATACGTATGGTGACAGATAAAAACTAGACTATTGGTGGTGAGCATGATGCAGTCCATACAGAAACTGATATATAATAATGTACCCCTGAAATTACACAATGTTATAAGCCAATATGACCTCAATAAAATAATTCTTTTTAAATGGACAAATGTTAGCAGCAAACAGTTCATTGGAAAGGAAAAAAAATTTTTCAACCATAAAAATAAATCACAACGAGATACCACTTCACATCCACTGAGATGGCTAGAATTTTAAAAAATGGGAAATAACAAGTATTGGTAAGGATGTAGAGAAATTGGAACACTCATACATTGCTGGTGGGAATATAAAATGGTGCAGTCGTTGAGAAAACTGGTTTGGCAGTTTCTCAAAAAGCTAAACATAGAATTACCATATGGCCCAGCAATTCCATTCGTAGGTATAGACCCAAAAGAATTGAAAGCAGAGACTTGAACAGATACTTGTACACTCATGTTCATAGCAGCATTATTCACAGTAGCCAAAAAGTGGAAACAACCCAAATGTGCATTGATGGATGAATGGATAAACAAAAGGTAGTCTATCCATACAATGGAACGTTATTCAGCCTTAAAAAAGAAATGAAGTTCTAATATGTGCTACGATGTGGATGAACCTTGAAAACATTATGCTTAGTGCAATAAGCCAGACGTAAAAGAAAATATTCTATGAGTCGACTTACATGAAGTCTCTAGAATAGGCAAATTCATAGAGACAGAAAATCGATTGGAGGTTACCAGGAGCTGGAGGGAAGGGAGAGTGGGAATTACTGCTTAACGGGTACAGAGTTTCTGTTGGCGACAGAAACGTTTTGGAAATAGATAGTGGTGATGGGTGCCCCTCTCCAGAGGCTTCCCTGGTGTCCACAGCACTGCCCTCACTTTGTTCTCAGTATTTTAGCAATCACCTTTGGGGTGACTGGCAGCTGGTTTACCATCTGCATCCGACTCCCCAGCTAGTCCAGGAGGCACTATCTCTGCCTTCATCCTGTGTCACCAGCGTCTGGTCCAGGATAGGGGGAGAAGAAGGTCAACCAACAGCTGTTGGATGAACGAGTGAAGACAGGCGGTGAAGGTGACTGGGAGGGAGTTAATTAGGTGAAAAGGGGGAGGGAAGCCCTATGGGACCAGGTCTAAAGAGCCTGGAGTGTAAAAGTCTGGCCTAAATTGAGGCTGGACAGGTAGGCAGGGCCTTACACAACCTGATTCATGCTTTTAAAAGATAATTCATGCTGCAGAGTGGAGAACAGACTAGAAAAGAGAATATTCAAGGAGTCAAGACTGCAGGTTCGGGTGATCTCAACAGCTAATGAGCTGCTCGTGACTGGGGGTATTCAAACAGAGACTGCATGAGTATGGGTGGGGATGCCGTCAAGGAGAGTCCAGTGCTGATGGGATGGCGCTGGGGCAGGCAGACTTGCTTTGAGACCCTACATCTTCCTAACCCTGCCCCACCACCTTGAGGAGGCCCACAGTCTCATCCCACCCCTGCGGACCTGGCCTGGAGCCCACACACACGAGCCTGCATTCGTGGCAGGAGGTGGAGGCGCTGGTGGGAGATGCAGGTGAGGAGGCCTCGGTGCAGAGTGAGCAGCGCCTGGGAGCGCCGCTCGGCCCAGTGTTGCTCCAGCTGCTGCCAGCCCGGCTCCCGCAGCAGGACCTGGAGGCCAAGGGGAGGGCTGGAGGTTGGCCAGGCGTGGGTGCCAGGGGGCCAGGGCCCACCCTGCTCTTCTCCTGGGGCCTCAGCCTCCTCCCCTCCAGCCAATCTATTCTTCAGGAGTGCCCGGGACACCTGCTGCCCTGCCCCACTCCATCTCCCCACCACCCAGAAGGACCACCAAATCCTGAGTATGTCCCTGTTTGTCCCAAAATGCTCCTCTCCCTTTCCAGCCGTGCCTGCCCTTCTGCACACACACACCCATCTGGGTGGCTCCAAGGTGACAGAGGGGTGACTCAGCCCCCAGCACCTGGCTCAGGATGGCGCCACACCTCTCCCGGTCAGAGGGCTCTCCCTGCCCCGCTGTCCCCAGGGCCCGGAACCTGCCCGGAGGACAGAGCCGAGGTCGGAACAAGCAAAGCACAGCTAGGACCTCCCTCCACACTTGTTTAACCCCTTGAACTCCTTGGCATCTCCTCAGTCTCTAAGGTCAACCATGATTTGGAAAGTAGCTACTATGTGCCAGGCACCCAGGAGAGTTTTACTGAATGGAGGATGGTCAGATGAACAGAGGCATGGAAGGGTGGAGGGATAATGAACAGTCAAAGGAAACAGGGATGGAGGGAGAGAAGGAGAGAGAGAGAAAGAAGAAAGAAAGGAGGGAGATTTGGATGCCAGGCCCAGGGTCCCTGGGAAAGTGGGTCCAGCTCTACCCTGAAGGAACCCCAGGTCTGCCAGTCACTCCAGGGGGCCTTCCCTGTGAGTCCTGTCCCTGAGGAGCCTGGGTCCTTGGTTGCCCCCATCCTGGGGCTCTACCTGGCCAGGAAGGCCTGGAAGGGCATGCGCACGGGGAAGTTGGCACTGCGGGAACATACAGCCTCCAGGATGCCCGCCTGCTGCAGCTGCTCTGCCACGTGTTCCACATCAAAGAGGCCCGCAAGCTGTGGCCGTAGGACAGAGCCAATGAGAGCTGGAGTCAAGGGGCTTAAAGCAGTGGGGAATTCGGGGCAGGGCACAAGGAGGAGCCAGGGGAGCTGAGAAGGGCAGGGCAGGGGTGGGAGGGCTCTGGGGCCAGGTGCTGGGCGAACTCACCTTTCCAGGGTTGGGGTTGAGGCACTGGATGAAATAGACATGGCTCCTGATGGATGGAAGGGGGGTCACATGGGCACACACTAGCCCCCCCATCCAGCTCCCTGCAGTTGGATGTGGGGGGCACTGTTCTTACCCGCTTAGCTGGGCCATGAGGTCCCCCAGGGAACGCTGAAAGCGAGAGGCCAGCGTGGGTTTGCCTTGCCCTCCCTCAGACGGGGGCTCTGCTTCCTGGAACAGGCTGCCCACCAGCTGTGGGGCGAGAAGGGGCTGAGCCGGCCAGGGAGCCAGGGTGGGCCAGCCCACAGCATCCAGACCATGGAAAGCTCAGGCCACAGTCCAAAGTGCCAGGAGGTTGAGGATGAGCCCCTTGGGCAAAAGTGCCCAGGCAAGAAGGGCAGAATCGGGGGACAGAGTGTGGAGGGGTAGCGGCCTGAGGAGGGCTGGCAGGGGCACCTGGAGCTGGCTCTGGGCAAGCACTTCCACCATGGCAGGGTCAAGGTGATCCCAGTTTCTGTTTAAAAACTTGTGAACCTGCAAGAGACAATGTGAGGAGGGGAGGGGAAGCCAAGGCGAGAAGGCTGGGTGTGGAGGCCGGTCCCTTCGTAAAATAATCCAGCCTCTCCCTTCTGAGTTAAAAGGCCACCTGTGTCTCTTCAACTAATTATTCTGGGAAAACTGGAAATCCACATGCAAAAGAATGAAATCGGACTCTAGTCTCACCCATATATAAAACTCAAAATGAATGGATCAAAGACCTAAACGTAAGACCTGAAACTATTAAACTCTTAGAAGAAAATATAGGGAGAAAGCTTCATGACACTGGACTTAGCAGTGATTTCCCGAATATGACACCAAAAGCACAGGCAACAAAAGAAAAAATAGATAAACTGGATTTCATCAAAATTAAAAGCTTTTAGGGGCCGGCCCCGTGGCTTGGTGGTTAAGTGAGCGCGCTCCGCTGCTGGCGACCCGGGTTCGGATCCCGGGCTCGCACTGACGCGCTGCTTCTCCGGCCATGCTGAGGCCACGTCCCACATACAGCAACTAGAAGGATGTGCAGCTATGACACACAGCTATCTACTGGGGCTTTGGGGGGAAAAAATAAATAAATAAAATCTTTAAAAAAAAAAATTAAAAGCTTTTGTGTATCAAAAGACACTATTAAGAGAGTGGAAAGAAAACCCACAGAATGGGAGAAAAGACCACATATCAGATAAGGGATTAATATCCAGATTACCTAAAGAATTCCTACAACTCAACAAGAAAAAAACAACTCAATTCAAAAATGGTCAAAGGACTTGAATAGATATTTCTCCAAAGAAGATACACAAATGGCCAAGAATCATATGGAAAGCTTCTCAACATTATTAGTCATTAGGGAATGCAAATCAAAACCACAATGACATACCACTTCACACCCACTAGGATGGCTACAATTTTAAAAAATGGAAAATAGGGCCGGCCCTGTGGCTTGGTGGTTAAGTGCGCGCGCTGCGATGCTGGTGGCCCGGGTTCGGATCCCGGGTGCGCATCGAGGCACCACTCCTCCGTTCATCCTGAGGCCGAGTCCCACATACAGCAACTAGAAGGATGTGCAGCTACAACATACAACTATCCACTGGGGCTTTGGGGGAAAAAAAAAAAAAAAAATGGAAAATAACAAGTATTGGCAAGAATGCAGAGAAATTGGAACCCTCATACATCGCTTTTGGGAATATAAAATGGTGCAGCCACTGAGACAAACAGTTTGGTGGCTTCTCAAAAAGTTAAACATAGGGGCCAGCCCGGTGGTGTAGTGGTTAGGTTTGCGAGCTGTGCTTCGGCGGCCCAGGGTTTTCGGGTTCGGATCCCAGGTGTGGACCTACGCACCGCTTGTCAAGCCATGCTGTGGCGGCATCCCACAATGAGGTAGAGGAAGATGAGCATGGATGTTGGCCCAGGGCCAATCTTCCTCAGCACAGGGAGGAGGATTGGCAACAGATGTTGGCTCGGAGCTAATCTTCCTCACCAAAAAAAAAAAAAAAGAAGAAGTTAAACGCAGAATTACTATATGGCCCAGAAATTCCCCTCCCAGGTATAGATCCAAAAGAACTGAAAGCAGAGACTTGAACAGATATTTGTACACCCATGTGCATAGCAGCAATATTCACAGTAGCCAAAAAGGTAGAAACAACCCAAGTGTCCATCAACTGATAAATGGATAACTAATATGTGGTCTCTCCACACAATGGAATATTATTCAGCCATAAAAGGAAGGAAATTCTGCTACATGCTATATGGATGAACCTTGGAAACATTATGTTTAGTGCAATAAGTCAGACACAAAAAGATTGTGTGTGTGTGTGTGTTATGATTCCACTTATATGAGATACCTAGAATAAGCAAATTTATAGAGACAGAAAGTAGATTAGATGTTACCAGGGGCTGGGGAAAGAGGGAGTTAGTGTTTAATGAGTACAGAGTTTCTGTTTGAGATGATGAAAAAGTTCTGGAAATGGATAGTGATGATGGTTACACAACATTGTAAACGTACTTAAAGCCACTGAGTTGTACACTAAAAAGTGGTTAAGGTGGTAAATTTTATGTTGTGTATACTTAACTAAATTTTTTTTTTGGGGGGGTGAGGAAGATCAGCCCTGTGCTAACATCTGCCAATCCTCCTCTTTTTTTTTTTGCTGAGGAAGACTGGCCCTGGGCTAACATCCGTGCCCATCTTCCTCCACTTTATATGGGACGCTGCCACAGCATGGCTTGCGAAGCAGTGCAATGGTGCATGCCCAGGATCTGAACCAGTGAACCCTGGGCCACTGCAGCGGAGAGTGTGCACTTAATCGCTTGCGCCACCGGGCCGGCCTCTAACTAAATTTTTTTTAAAGGCCACCTTCGTCATGTGTCCAATTCCTTTATATACTCTTGGGTCTGTTACTGGGCTTCAATTCTGTTCTACTGATGGATCCGTTCCTTATCAATACCATACTTTTTAAATTACTAGAGCTTTAAAATATGTTTTAATATCTGGTAGAACAAATTCCTCCATAATCTTTTGCTTTTCAATATTTTATTGGCTATTCTCATGCATTTCTTTTCCAGATAATACTTCAGAATAATTTTGTCAAAACTCCTTCCTCCTCCTCCCAAAAAAACCCTATTGGGGTATTGTCTGGAATTGTATTACCTTTCTAGATTAACTAGGAAAGAATGAATAATATTAGGGCTCCCCAACAGGAACCTGGTTTGTGTCTCCATTTTTAAAAAGTCTTTTGTGACCTTCAATACAGTCTCATAGTTTTCTTTATTCAATCTCCTTGTGTTTCTCTTTTTTTTTTGATGTGATTTTTTTTTTTCTTTGAGGTATAATTGACATATACTCCTTGTGTTTCTTGTTTGGGTAACTCACAGCTAGTCTGTATTTTTCCTTCTACAACCAGAGCACATCACCTCCTCCAGGAAGCCTGATCTGACTTGCCCCACCTCAAACCAGTCGCATGGTCCTTCCCTTTATACCAGGCCCCCTCCCCGCAGCAGCTCTCCCTCTGAGTAAGTGTGCAGTCACCATGAAATTCAGAAGGGGGAAAGGAAACTCCCTTCATTGAGCACCTAGAATGTGTCATGCACCTGCCCGCCATTTCCATGTTATTACATTTAATCCTCATGACAATGCCCTGGGACAGATTTCCATTCCCATTTTACAGATGAGGAAATGGAGGCTCAGAATTAGTAGGCTGCCTGCAGTTATCAGAGCCAGGTCCCCTGCGTATGCTCTGCCTCTCTTGGTCTAGAGGGTCCCGAGGCCTTGACTTCCCTCACTCCATAATGCTTATCCAGAACTCGATAAGTGATGCTCAGAACTGGGTGGCGCCAAGGGCCCAGGTAGGGACAGATGGCCAAGCCTTGGAAGGGGCCTCCCCTCACTTACTCCTTTCACCTGTCAGGTAACTCAGCTCCGGGAGGGGACAGCAGGGTCACATTGCCCTCACTGCTGGAGGGCAATGGAGTCCTGGAGTCCAATCCTGACTCCCCCTAATACCTGGTAGGTGACGGTCCCAGCGTAATGCCGCACGGTGAAGATAGGAAGGGGCAGCTGGGGCTTGGCATAGCATGGGTGATCGCCATGGTGATAGTGGCACTTCTGGAGGAAGGTGTGATCCGTGGCCTGGTGAAAAGGACCAGCTTCCCTGAGGCCTTTGCACATGCTGTTCCCCCTGCCTGGACTGTGCTTCCCTCTCTGTGGCCCCAGGTACCGCAGACTCTGGACATAAGGTGAGCTCTGGTTTTGTCCCTAAAATTCTTCCTCAGGCAGGAAGTGTCGCTCCATATCAGAGTCCTTAGAGAGGGCGCGCTCTCTCTCTCCCGGGACTTTTGAACAACCAAGGGCTACTTGAGAAAGACACAGCAGCCTCACACACAGAAACCACCTCAGTCAATACGAGACTGGGTGGCTTATAGAGGACACTTGATAAAATTATTTAAAAGAAATGGGGCCGTGGGACTTGGAGGCAGATTTAGCAATCACTCATGGGAGTGCGGTCTCACAATTACAGGTGTTTTTAAACAAGTCTTTCAAAGATACTTTTAAAAAGCAACCTGATAAGAAGTTATTTTATGGAGCTAAGGAACATATAACAAATGCATGTGGAACCACCTGCCTTAATGTCATATAAATGGGAACTTGTGGCTTGGGGTCACAATTCCAGCAGCAACACCCAACACGGACTCAAAAAGTGCTGTTTCAAATAACGGAGACCTAAGTAACAGTGCTAAGCCCCGGAAAACCAGCCTGGGTGATTCCAAAAGTGGCCCTGAGATGTCAAAGATGCCTGTGACAAGTTTTAATAAACTTCTGTGAAATGTGAACTGGGAAAAGTGATCATTTACGAATTAACACACTATTATCTAGTAAGGGATTTCAAATATGTATGATTGTTAATAAATCATTTTCCATGTCTAAATGGGAGGACGGGGGTCATCCTACATCTGCGGTCATGGTATATTTAGCTAAAAGGCCTCAGATACCAGAAAAGGCCCGAGCCCCACACACGCTCTTGTGGCCCCACATACACACCCACCAAGCCATACAGGTGTGATTTTGTATCTGGTTCTGTGTGTGTGTTATTAATTAACATCTCTCTTCCGCTACACTGCAGCCTCTAACAGGGGAGGGATTGAGTCTATTTTTGCTCATCTTTTTATCCCTAGCACAGTTCCTGGTACACATACACATTCATTCATTCATTCACTCATTCATTCATCATTCAATATTTAATGAACCCTTAACATGCACCAGGTGCTGTGGACAGGGTGTGAAGACTTCAGACAAGGCCCAGCCCTTATGGAGCTCAGTCTAGCGCAGGGCAAAGAGTCGATGAATAAATATACTCTGTAACTGCACATGGACATGAGCATTAGGAAATATAAAGTAGGGGAGAGGCCCGAGAGTAACGGGGGAGCTATTTACTTAGGGGCAGATGGAAGGCAGTCTATAACGATTTGTGGGACAGATGTACCAGGGCCTGAGATCTACTGGCCAGAGGCTTGAGGGACCCTCGAAAGTCCCACAGGAGCCCTGCACAGTCCCAACCACCCTGCCCCTCAGGCACTGTTGTCGCCCCTTCTGCAGTGAGGACTTGAGGAACCTCAGAGAGGTCAGGCATCTTGCTCAAGGTCACCCAGAGACAGATTTGAACCCAGTGGCCACTGCCTTCCAAAGCTGTGCTGAGAAGCTGTGGGCAGGGTCTCTGGACCCCGTCACCTTGTTGCTCCCCTGACAGGCCCTGCTGGCTCCAGCCTGGCCACCAGGGCCCCCACTCCTTGTCCCCGCCACTGGGGGCTCACCTGGGACACCTTCCTCTGTGCTCCCACCCCCCTACCCATACTTTACTAGTAAGCCCAGCAGAGACCCCATTTCATGTGGCTCTGTAAAGAGAGTTTTGACATGCTCTAAAACACACACACAAGAGTGCACACACACACACTTGCCCTGGTCACCCTCTCAGAGAAGGAACGGTCACCAACGACACACTGGAGAGCAGAAGAGGGCAGGGGGCAGTGAACAGTTCCCATCCAGGGACTGAGGGTGTGGGCTACCTCCTCTTGCTCTAGCCCCCTCTGCCCTGCCCTGATGTGGCAAGATCTTCTGGAAACGGGTGAAGAGCTTATGAAAACCCAGGGCAATTTGGGGGAGTCTTCCTGGTCCCTCTCCTCTTAGTGCACGGGAGGTGAGGGCTGAGCCAGCCCAGCGCCTCTGTCTCCACTGCCTTAGAGGCTCCTATGATTCTCCACAAGGCCAGGCAGGACAGAACTCTCCAGAGGCGATGTCAGGACTGGACAGAGGGCAGAATGGCTGCACCTACGGAGCACTCAGCTCTCTCAAGGACCATCTCCCTTAAGCCTTCACAGGGTAGGTGATCCCTGTTATGATCCCTGCTTTACAGTTGGGAACAGTGGGCCTCAGAGAGGTTAATTAACTTGCTCTAGGTCACACAGCTAGTGAGTGGCAGGACTCAAACCCCCGAGCTTTGGAGCTTCCAGAGCCCTGCTCTTATCCGCAGTACTCAGCAGCGCCTCCCTGCAGGAGAAAGAGGTGGGCTCCAGCCCTTCTCGGAGAGGAGCCAGGAGGGCTCAGGGCCCCAGGCTGTCCAGCCAGGGACCAGAGAAGGAGGTAGAGGCCCTGCTGGGAAATAAACATGGCATGTGGTGGGAACACACCTCTCAATGCCCCGCAGCTGGAGGTGAGCAGAAAAGAGAGCCCCGAGGCCCTCCGCCAGCCTGACTCCTCCACCACACTCCAAAGTCACCAGTGCAGGGCCTGCTCCCTCTCCTCTGGACCTCTGCGCCCCAGCCCCAGAGCCAGCTCAGCCTCGCAGGAAGAGTATGGCAGGGCAGGCAAGCAGCTCACGAGCGCTCCCCACAGGAGAGCTGGAGCTGCTGGGGTCCCCAGAAATCATCACGATGAGCCGAGCACCCCGTCCTGGGCCCCCCCAGGGGTGACCTCAAAGCCGTAGACGTCCACGACAGTGACAGTGTCCGTGCTGCCTCCCTCCCTGGGCGGTGCCAGTCTCCCATTGGTCTTCCTCAGAAGCCAGGTGAAGAGCTGCGAGTACAGGGCCTTGGCCAGGGCGTCCCTGTGGGCATGGTGAGTGAGCCACATGCAGCAGAGCACCAGGCCCGGCTACAGCTCTCTCCTGTCCCCAGGGCCACCTGGCATTGATGGCACTTTCCACTGGCAGGGATCTCCAAACCTGGCCATAGGGCGTCTCCTGGAGGGCAGAGGAGACGCATGTGGTAATTCAGGCGGGTGCTCAACCAGGCCTGCAGGGGGTTGGGGTTGGGGTTGAGGTCCCCTCCCCCCACCCAGGACCCTCAGGCTCACCAAGACCCTCCTGGTGACAGCCCCCTCCAGGCGCTCGGGCGGCACCCGCAGCAGCCGGGCTGCCGTGTGGATCTCGGCCCAGCTGGACACAGCAGCCACTTCCTGGGACTCTCGCTGGACAGAGAAGGGAGGGAGCAGGGAGCGCTATGCCTGTGGAACGGCTACAGCCCACAGGCCAGGGGCAGGGCCTTGCTTTGGCCGGCCAGCTGCCCTGCTACCCAAAGGTAGACAGATCTGGGCAAGGAAGAGCCGGCTCTGGAGTCTGAGGGCCCAGAGTGTGAGTCCTGACTTCACCTCTTCGCTGGCTGACAGGCCCTGACAAGTTTCTTTCCCTCTCTGAGCCTCCACTGTCTTATTTTTAAAAAAGAAACAACAACCCTTATGTTACAGTGTTGTCATGAGAACTGAATTAGAAAACATATATAAAGTATAATTCACACAGCACCAGGTACATAAGAGCTGCTCAGTTAGTACCAAGTGTGCTTCTTAGGGGTGGCAGCTTAGTGGCACAGCATCGGCAAAGAGCAGAAGATCCAGGTCTCAGTTTCTCATCTACATGATGGGGCTCCACCTGCTCTCCAGGGCAGCTGGGAGGCCCTGAGGGAAGCCCAGGGTTTGGTAGCCTCCCACATACAAGCATTTGGCATCATGACTGTTGCTGCCCTGATTATGCAACCAAGCCACCAGGGATCCAGTGCCCACGGGGAGCCTACCTCTGAGGAGGAGAAGCAGATGTTGCCCAGCTGCAGGATGGAGGCCAGCATGGCCCAGACTGTGGTCAACTCCTCAGGGCACAAGCCTAGAGCTTTCAGGGCCTTCACCAGTCTTGTGAAGTCCTGGGCATCATCCTTGCCCTGGAGCCTGCAGGCCCGGCCCTGCAGAGCACACAGGGGTGAGTGGCAGGGCCTGGCCACCCACAGCCTCCCTGTACTCTGGCTCCTCATCAGACCCCAGCACCAAGACCCTTCCCTGGGCAGGCCCTGTCATCCAGCACCGAGTAGGCCTTGCTCTCACCTGGTTGAGGTAGTAATAGGTCTCTGGCCCCTGTAGGGAGAGCCGCTCCCGTTCCATGGGGTCCAGTCCTGCCAACAGCTCGTAAAAAACATGGAAGCTCCGCTCAGCCTGGGCCTTGGGGGAGAAGGACTGGCTTAGGGGAAGCAGTACCTGGTCCTGTGCCCCAGGGGAGCAGGGCAGACCTGGGAGCTTAGGGGCCACAGCCCCCTACAGCAGCTCCTCCCTCTTCCCATTCTGGGAGCTAGAAGGGGGTGGACAGCAGGGCAGGTCTTACTTGAAACACTACCCTTGAGGTCTCAAGCAGATAATGCGACACAGAAGCTCCCACGATGACTCCTCTGTGGGCACAGGAGACTGGGTGGAGGTGCCTGGGGTGCATGCAACCCAGGGGCCTGCTCAGAATGGGACCCACCATGGGCTGGACCCAAGGGCAGCAGTCTCAGGTTCCCAGTCAGGGGAACTGATCATGGGTGCCCCCTATGCCCACCTGGACCCCATCACTCACTGCTGCAGGCAGAGGCATAAGACCTGGCCGGAGCGGCTGGCGTTGGCATTGAGAACTGTCTTGGCATGGCCAAAGCTGCTGAGCATGGGCAGCACGTCATCCAGCTGTATGCGGGAAGGGCATTCAAGTCACCCTGCGGTGCTCTCCACTGATCAGGCAGCCCAGCTGAGGACACTCTGTGCCTGGGGACTGTGCTGGTCCACGGAAGGGTCAGTCCCCACCCCACTCTGCCCCCACAGTTAGGCAATGCCTGGGGCTGCCCCCAAGGAGAAGCCAGAGGCCTGAAGACCACCCTCCTGGCCCAAAGGAGAAGGATGGTCCCTCTTGGATCCCTGGGAATGGCCAGCCGCCCCTTACCTGACATCCCCTGTCTCTCATCTGCTCCTGCTCCAGGCTGCTTAGGAACTGCACGAACTTTTTGGCAGCTTCTGTTTTCCCTGAGCCACTGTGCCCACTGCAGAAGGGAGGTGCCGGCAGGGTCTCCAGGAAGGGGCACACAGGATGACCCCATTGAGCTCGGGAAGTGGAAATATACCCACCTGGAAGTGACACCCACCCTAAAGGAGACCCCCCAAAATGCAGAAAGATAGTCCCAGGGCATGGAAACCAAACACAAAAAAGTCCCCAAGATGCCATGTCAAGGGGCACATGTGGTGACTTCAGCCAGGAACACAGCCCTTACAAAGTCCAGAGCTACTGCCCAGCAGTGGACCAGACCAGCAGTTTCAAATGCAGACCTCACATCCCCCCACTCCCCGCCCTCAGGGTGGCCTGTGGGTTCAGCCAAGCAGGGCAGCCACCACTCACCTGAGGAGAATGCACGTGCCCTGGCCAGTGCTCTGAGACAGGCTATAGGCTGATGCCACGATGGCAAAGATGTGTCTAGCGGGGCAGGGGCAGATGAGAGGGGCATGAGATGAGATGAGATGGGCATCTGGGGCCCTCCTAGGTGTAGGCAGGATGTCCCTGCAGTCCCCAGGACAATCAACGGGACACGCTGGGCCTTAGCCGCCCAGGGAGGTGACCAGAGGGTTGGTGGAGCAAGTCACGTACGGGGCAGTGTTGGAGGCCTTGCTGGGGCGGTAGCTGGCCAGGACCTCAGGAGAGAAGAGAGGCAGAGGCCTGCGGGGGTTCAGAGCCAGCAGAAGGGGTCCTCCAAAGGTCTGGGGAAGAAAGTGGACGCTCTCATCAGAGCATGGAGGAAGCAGGGGATGCAAATGGAGTGGGGCTCCAATGCTCCCCAGCCCAGCCCCTGGCCCTGCTCTGCAGGTCCCCAGAGAGGGTGTAGCACCCAGCCCAGGGAGGAGAAGGAAGGAGAAGCCCCAGGGGTGCTGGAGGGCCCTCTGTCCCCAGGGGAAAGGGAATCCCAGCCTACTATCCCCTCCCTGGTGCCTCTCATACATAGATTCGGCCCAGGTGAAACCTCTTCTTGAGGCACAGCAGCACGGAGCTGTCACACACCAGTCTGCGGGGACAGCAGGGTGGAGGGGCAGGGAGTCGGGGCAGAAGGAGGTCCTGGGTTAGCGCTGCCACTGGCTGCAGAGACACTTTGGGCAAGTCTGAGGCCCAACCAAAACACAGAGGCCCAGCTGCTAAGTAAGTTACCCCCACCCCCAGCACCCCCATGGGGGCCAGGGCAGGACCAGGCAGGCCCCTGACCCTGAGGGAAGCTTTGTGCCAGTTAGGGAAGGCAGTCCCAGGCAGGGGCACCTGACTTGTGCCCCTCATCTGCTCCTTCCAGCCAGTCGACCCTTTGTGAGGCAAAAACCCTTGGGATACAATTCACAAAAATGAGGGTACGGTGGGAAATGAGGAACTGTGTGACCCAGGCATGGCAGATTTGGGGCTGCGTCTGCTCACCGCAGTCGGGCTAGGTCCTCGGTGTCTTCCAGGCCGACCCCGAAGCTCCTGCCCTCGGCACCGGAAAAGGGCGGCCCCTCCAGGCCCGGCCGAAGACTCAGCTCCAGGTCCCGCTCCAGCGCCTCCTCCGCCTCATCCTCCGGCTCCCACCGCTCCCTCGGGGACCCACAGAGGCCCGGGCCCCTCCCCCCCCGCAGGCGGATCTCCAAGGTGAGCCGGGGCAGCAGGGCGTCGGAGCCAGGCCCAGGGTCCTCGCGAGGATCCGAGCCCTGCGCCCAATGCACCGGGGCCTCATCTTCCAAGGTCTCGGGCTCCGCTTCGCTACTAGAGCCGCTTTCGTCGAGGGGAGTCGGGCCGAGGAGAGAGCTGCGGCGGGTCCTGGCCATCCCTTCTCCACTGGCCTTGCACCCCTCACTGTCCCCTGAAGCCCCTGCAAGAGGCCAAACGCGCCCCTCCCCGGCGGGGGCGTCCGCGGACGCTTTCTGCGAACTCCGGCTGCTCGACGCTCTCCCCGTCTTGTGGATTCTGGGGAACACGACCGCGAACTTGGGATCGGGAGTCGGGTCCTCGTCCTCAGAAGTTTCGTCGTGGACTGGGCTCTCCGCAACCTGCGGGGAGCTCGGGATGCCGCCAGGGGGAGCCCTCGGCGGTCCCCCCAGCCCTGCTACGCCCGCCAGACGCAGCACTTGACGGCGCCGCAGCCCCGGCCGGCGGCCCTGCCCCTCCCTCCCCCGCGGCCCGGTCCCTCGCTCCTCGCGCCCCCGCGGCCCGAGCCTCTGCCGCAGCCACTGCAGGAGCCCCAGGGCCCGCGTTACGCGCAGTAGTCGGTCCTTGAGGTCGGCGCGACGGGGACCCGCGGCCTGGGGAGCGTGGCCTAGAGGGGACCTCGCGCGGAGCCTGCGGAGCGCCACGAGGGCGGCCAGCGGCACTGAGTCCCCGGGCCCATGTCCCCCGGCAGCCCCCGCTTCGCTCTCCCCCGCCGCCGCCTGCACCTTCCCCACCACCTTTCCGACCTGGCGGAGCCGAGACGGGGCGGTCGAGGCCTCGGTTCTTCCGGGCTCGGCGCCCCGCGGCTCAACATCGGGCTGCGCCTCGTTCTCTCTCGCGTCCCGGGCCGGCCTGGAGTCCCGAGAAGCCCGCGAGCTCCGGTGCACGCTCGCGCGGCTGCCCCCGAGAGAGCTGGAGGCCGTGGCTTTTCTGCCCAGCTCGGCTTTCCTGGGGCTGCCCGTGGGCCCCGTCCAGGGCCGGCCCTCCCCAGACTCGAGTCAGTGTCTGTCCCGGAATGCTCGGTCGTTCCCTGGGGCCCCAGCCCCGACGACCCTTCCCAGCTCCGGGGCTCGGCGGGAGGCTCGTCGCTACCCCTCCCGTCGCTGCTCCGGCGCTCACCCAGCTCCAGCGCTGACTCCGGCCCGGTTTGGGTGCCTCCGGAGCCCGTGTCCGTTTGCTCCAACTTCGGCCGCAGGTCCGGGACCGCGCCGCTCTGGCTGCCGCACTCCTGGGCCCCGCGGGCTTCGCTGTCCGCACAGGAGCTGTCCCCGTCTCCGCCCGACGTGTCCCCACCGAGGCTCCGGGTCTCTCCGCGGCCCCGGCGAGCCGAGGGTCCCCGCACTTTTCCTCTCCTCCTGCAGCGGCCACGCTCGCCTGTCCGCTCTTCTCCTCGGGGGAGACTCCCCTCCTCCCGGCGCCCCCCAGGGCTGCCCCCGGGTTCGCAGCTCTCCTTAGGCCCACGTCCCCGACGCCGCGCGCTGCCTCGTCTCCCCTGGCCCTCCAGTGGCGGCCCAGCCCCTGGCCGTTTGCTGCCGCCGTTCCCCTCTGCAGTGGGCTTCCTGTGGCCACCTGGGATCCCCTGACCTCCCGCGGTGGCGGGCTCCAAGACCCGTCTCGCCCCGCGGGCCTTGCCCCGGCCCTGTCGGCGTTCCCGGCTGGGCGCGCAGTCTGCGCTGGCCGACCCGGACTCCTGCTCCCCGGAGGCCGGCCTCCTGGATTCCTCCGGGCGCTGGGGCGCTTTGCCTTTGCTCCCGCCCATAGCAGGCCCAGTGAAGAGGGGCTTCCCTCCGTTCTCCCCTCTTCCCCAGGATCTTGCTGCCCGCCGGCGCCCTCAGCCTTCCGGCAGCGCACCACATTGGTTCTGCTCTCGCGGGAGCTTCGGGCTCAATCCACCCCCAGCGTCTCCTGCCTTACGCACGAGCATCAATAATGCAGGCGGCTGCGGGTCCTGACGCCCTCGGCCAACAATAGAGCGAGGCCGCGCAGGAAAGAGGAGACGCTGCAGCTGCGGATAAAGGCCGTGGACAGGGCAACCGTGCCGCCCGGGAGTCGCTGCCAGCCCGGCCAGCCTGGCACCGCGCCAGACTGAGGGGGCCGCGCTCTGCTCCCGCCGGACTGCTTGCCCAGCAGGGGGTGAGGGGGCGCTGGGAGAACCCGTCTGGGCTGTCCTTCTCCCCCTGGGGGCTCTAGGGGGCACCCACCCTCCTCCCTTCGCCCCTGGACTGCTCCAAGAGGCTGGCACCCCGCTGACCTTGGCACACAGCAAGCAGTCCGTGAGCTTTGTTAGTTCTTGTTGTTGTTGTTCTTTTAGATTGTGAAATATAATTTAAAGAAAACAGCGTAAAACCTACATGTACACCTTGAACTGGTGTAAAACAAATGCCTGTGTACCGAGTCCTGGAACATAACCAGATCCCATAAATCCCTGATTGCCCCAATGTGTGTGTCGTTTAAATATTCAATTTTTGAACAGGTAATACATTCACATAGTTCAAAATCCACAAGATAAAAGTTTCCCATTCCTGACCCTCAGCTACTCAGTTTTCCCCTGAGCTCACTCATTTCTTGTATTTCCTTCCAGAGCAATGCATGCAGAGAAAAGCAGCAAATATTTGATTTTTCCCTTTGAGCCCAGGTGGAAGCTTATCAGCTCATGGTTCTTCACTTTTGCTTTTTCAACCTAACAGATTCACTAGGAGATTTCATCATAATACATAAAGATCTTTTTCTTTTTTTCTTTTACAACTGCATAGTATTCCAGCAAATGATTGCACCATAGTTTAACCAATTCTTTTGTGTGTGTGTGTATGTGAGGAAGATCAGCCCTGAGCTAACATCCATGCCAATCCTCCTCTTTTTGCTGAGGACGACTGGCCCTGGGCCAACATCACTGCCCGTCTTCCTCCACTTTATATGGGACGCTGCCACAGCATGGCTTGACAAGCGGTGTGTCGGTGCACGCCCAGGGTTGGCTGCAGCAGTGGAGTGCTGGCACTTAACCGCTAGGCCACTGGGCTGGCCCTATCCAATTCTTTATTGATAGATTTTACATCTGAAGTGGATGCTGCCTTCATCCTATCTTTTTTTTTTTTTTCCTGAGGAAGATTCACCCTGAGCTAACATCTGTTGCCAGTCTTCCTCTATTTTGTATGTGGGTTGCCACCACAGCATGGCCACTGACAAGTGGTTTAGGTCCTCACCCAGAACTGAACCTGGGCCACTGAAGCAGAGTGCACCAAACTCAACCACTAGGCCATTGGGGCTGACCCCCATCACATCTTTTGTTCCAGTTACAAACAACACTGGAATATCATCTCTCCTTCATCCAAGTAGAATCAATTCCTAGAAGCAGAATTGCTGGACCATAGAGTATGTGCATTTGTAATCGGGAGATTTCTAAATTATCCTCCATGAGGGTTGTACCAATTTACACTCCCACCAACAAGATAGGCGACCACTCAATTCCACATAGCACTAAGGCATGGCATTACCTAACATTTTTGCCACTCTGATACATCGCAAATAAAACCTAAATGCCTTTTAAGCTCATTTCATTAAATGAAAATATGCAGCTTTCCCCCCTCTTATAGCCATTTGTTTTCTTTTCTGAGATCTGCATTTTCTCATTCTTTACCCATCTTTCTATTGGGTATGGGTCTGTTTCTCTCTCTTTTTTTTTTGTGAGGAAGATCAGCGCTGAGCTAACATGCATGTCAATCCTCTTTTTGCTGAGGAAGACTGGCCCTGGGCTAACATCTGTGCCCATCTTACTCTACTTTATATGGGACGCCACCACAGCATGGGCTGACAAGCGGTGCAGCGGTGCACGCCTGGGATACGAACCCCGGCCGCCAACATTGGAGCACGTGCACTTAACCACTACGCCACGGGGCCGGCCCTTGGATCTGTTTCTTGATGGTTATACTGTAATTAAACCCAGGCAGGATGAGCCCATTTGAAGGGCCCCAGGAAAAAGCAGCTGCTGCGGGGCAAGCTCTGGGGCGCCTAAGACGGAGCCAGATGAGATAGCCAGCCAGGGCCTATGATCTGCCCCATCAGGACTCCTGTGGCCCTGCTGACCGCTCAGTCTGGCCTCTCCTCAGCAGCCCCACCCAGAACCAGAGCAGGGGAGGTAACATTCCAGATTGTGGTATTTTCCTTGGAAAACTTTTCCGTTGGCCGGCACTTGCCTTACACCCACCTCTCTGCACCTCTCCTTGGAGCCAGCCTCAGACCTGGGTGAAGCTGCTGCCAGCACTCACATTACCCAGGAGGGCACTCACAGCCCAGAGGCCTGGTTTGAGCAATGAGTTGAAAGTGACTTGCCTTTGCAGTCTGCATTCTCAAGGAGGCAGCCTTCCAGAGAAGGAAGCAGCTGTCCCAAAAGAACACAGGCTCCTGGGTAACACCACATAACTTGTAAAACTGATAACTTTTACTGTGAAAGTCTGTCCGCTGTGCTTCCCCACCACCAATACTGCCAGAGGCAAAGGGTGATGATGTTCAGAGGGCTCATTTCACCTGCAAAAAGCAGAACCTGGGGTGATGTATTCACACAGTGGATTATCACACAGCATTGAGAACCATCTACAGCTACCAGCAACATATATGGGTAATCTCATGAACATAGCGGTTCGTGAAAGAAGCCAGGCATGGCAGAGTCATAGGATCACTGTATGATTTTGTTTATATGAAGTATGAAAAGAGGCAAACTGACCCAGACGGTGGTGCCCGGGGTGGGGGTGGAGGTCACTAAAGGGTCACAAGGGAGCCTCCGGGGTTTGGGTGATGCTGTTTGTCGGGTGTGTGAAGATTTATCTGGTTGTCCTTCTATGACTTGTGCTATTCTGTATGCATTTTATTTATTTATTTATTTTTTGTGAGGAAGATCGGCCCTGAGCTAACATCTGCCAATCCTCCTCTTTTTGCTGAGGAAGACTGGCCCTGGGCTAACATCTGTGCCCATCTTCCTCCACTTTATATGGGACGCTGCCACAGCATGGCCTGACAAGTGGTCCGTCGGTGCGCACGAACCCGGGCCGCCAGCAGTGGAGCGCGCACACTTAACCGCTAGCCCACGGGGCCAGTCCCTTGTATGCATTTTATAATTAGAAAGATAATACAAGGAAAGAGCTCACTGTTTTGCCCTGGACTCATAATAACAGTAACATAATAACAGTAACCCATTTCACAGATAGGGAAATGGCTCAGAGAGGGTAAGTGGCTAAAAGACACACAGCCAGTTAAGTCAGGAATTGGGGACCAAACCCAGGTCCCTTGACCGTTAGTACCAGCTATTCTGCTCCATGGTACTTCTCCTGGGAACTGGCTTTGGAACCAGACAGCCCTGGTCCCTCCTCCCACCTCCTGGCTGTGTGACTTCCAACAAGCTCCAGGGAACTCCTGGGACAAACCTGACACCAGGGGAGAGGGGCCCCCACCCAAGCCTGGTTCTTCCCTCTGGCTCCTCCTTTTCCCTCATCCCTTCACGCAGTTTGCTCGGAAGCACTGTGAACTCCTCCTTGGATCTGTGGCAAGCCCTATTCTGACTCCACGCCCCTCTCTTGGAGCCATCGCCTCCTCTCCTGGCCTCACCCACCATCCATAGTAACTTTTACCTCCTTCGCTTGGGTGTTTACTAGGAGCCAGGTGCTGTTCGATTTTACAGACTCATTTAATCCTTACAACCCTCTGAGGCAGGCCCTATTATTATGCCCATTCTACAGATAAGTAAACTAAGGCACAGGAGTGAGGTCATCTACCCAAGGTCACGCAGCCAGTCACAGGCAAAGCCAGTGTTGGAGAATTGGATCTGCCTGACTTCCAGGACTAAGTGAACACTAAGTCTCCCACCTCTGGATGCCGTAGACCCTTATTCTTTTTTTTTTTGTAAGGAAGATCAGCCTTGAGGTAACATCCATGCCAATCCTCCTCTTTTTGCTG